TGAAGACCATCCTGGCTAACATGGTGAAACCCTGTCTCTACTAAAAATACAAAAAATTAGCTGGGCGTGGTGGCAGGTGCCTGTAGTCCTGGCTACTCAGGAGGCAGAGGCAGGAGAATGGCGTGAACCTGGGAGGCGGAGCTTGTGGTGAGCCAATATCGTGCCACTGCACTCCTGGGTGACAGAGCGAGACTCCGTCTCAAAAAAAAAAATTAATTAATTAAAAAACTATAAAAAAAATTACCTATTGTAATACATACGTGGTCATGGAAAGGTATGTAGGTGTGCGTAAACATACCAAACCATGTTAATACAATCTCTACTTGTCTCTAGGTTTCCATTACAAGAATGTCTCTGTTACAAGGCACAACATTATGGTGCTATAACTGTGATTATCAAAGGCTACAGAGTTTCATAAAATAGCTGCCCACCTAGTGTATGCTAAATACTGTTTGCCTTGGTATATGCCTCTGTGTCCTAGAAACACTTGGGCTGGGTGCAGTAGCTCATGCCTGTAATCCCAGCACTTTGAGAGGCTGAGACAGGTGGATCGCTTGAGCACAGGAGTTCAAGACCAGCCTGGGTAACATGGTGAGACCCTGTTTCTACAAAAAAATTTAGCCAGGCCTGCCTGGTCACATGCTCCTGTAGTCCCAGCTACTTGGGAGATTGACATGGGAGGGTTGCTTGAGCCCTGGAGGTTGAAGCTGCAGTGAGTCATGATCCTGCCACTGCACTCTAGCACTCTAGCCTGGGTGACAGAGTGAGACCCTGTCTCCAAAAAAAAAAAAAAAAAAAGAAAAAGAAAAAGAAAAAGGAAGAAAGAAAAAAGAGATCTCCAAGAAGAAAATACTTGGGATTTTGGAGTCAGAAGAAATGAACTTGGGTTTTTTGGTTTTTTTTTTTTTTGAGACGGAGTCTCACCCTGACGCCCAGGCTGGAGTGCAATGGAGATCTTGGCTCACTGCAATCTCCACTTCCCAGGTTCAAATGATTCTCCTGCCTCAGCCTCCTGACTAGCTGGGACTACAGGCATGTGCCACCACACTTAGCTAGCTAATTGTTGTATTTTTAGTAGAGATGGGGTTTCACCATGTTAGCCAGGCTGGTCTCGAACCCCTGATCTCGTGATCCACCCACCTTGGCTTCCCAAAGTGCTGGGATTACAGGTGTAAGCCACTGTGCCTGGCCTTTTTTTTTTTTATTTTTTTATTTTTTAGACAGAGTTTCGCTCTTGTTGCCCACACTGGAGTGCAATGGTAAGGTCTCAGCTCACTGCTACCTCCACCTCCCAGGTTCAAGCGATTCTCCTGTCTCAGCCTCCCAAGTAGTTGACACTACAGGCACCCGCCACCACGCCTGGCTAATTTTTGTATTTTTAGTAGAGACGGGGTTTCTCCATGTTGATCAGGCTGGTCTCGAACTCCCGACCTCAGGTGATCTGCCCGCCTCGGTATCCCAAAGTGCTGGGATTACAGGCATGAGCCACCACGCCCAGCTTGAAGTTGGGTTCTTCTTCCATCACTTAGTACCTGTGTGATCTCAGGCAGGGCAGTCACTTGGCCTCATCAGTAAAAAGAGGATCTAGGCCAGGCTCGGTGGCTCATGCCTGTAATCCCAGCACGTTGGGAGGCCAAGGTGGGCGGATCACCTGAGGTTGGGAGTTTGAGACCAGCCTGATGACCATGGAGAAACCCCGTCTCTACTAAAAATACAAAAATTAGCCAGGCATGGTGGCACATGCCTGTTATCCCAGCTACTTGGGAAGCTGAGGCAGGAAAATCGCTTGAACCTGGGAGGCGGAGGTTGTGATGAGCCAAGATTGGGCCATTGCACTCCAGCCTGAGCAACAAGAGCGAAACTCTCATCTCAAAAAAAAAAAAAAAAAAAGAGGATTTAAATATCTATTCATTCTCTATTCATTCACTATTCACACATTTACTGAGTGTTAGCTACATGTCAGCCATTGTGCTATACCAATGGATTTCAATTAACCTTCAGTGCATATTAAAATCACCTAGAAAACTTTTACAGCTACTGAGTCCCTAAGAAAAGACAGCATATCAGCATATAGGATTAAATGATGATGCAATGAAGTTTTACACACACACACACATCCTTAGGGACAGATTTTATTGGTCTAGTACCCGGTAGTGGCATTTTAAAAAGCACCACAAGGCCGAGTGCAGTGGCTCACGTCTGTAATCCTAGCACTTTGGGAGGCTCAGGCAGGTGGATCACCTGAGGTCAGGAGTTTGAGACCAACCTGGCCAACAAGTGAAACTCCATCTCTACTCAAAATACAAAAATTAGCCAGGAATGGTGGCACATGCCTGTAATCCCAGATACTTGGGAGGCTGGGGAATTGCTTGAATGCACGAGGGAGAGGTTGCAGTGAGCTGAGATCACACCATTGCACTCCAGCCTGGGCAACAAGAGCGAAACTCTGTCTCAAAAATGAAAATAAAAATAAAAAGCACCACAGATGATTCTAATATGCAACCAAGGTTGAGAACCACTGAGTGCAGATATAGAAACCAATAAATTGCAACACATTAGTCTCTATCCTCAAGAAACTATGGTACCGAGCTGGGCATGGTGGCTTATGCCTGCAATCCTAGCACTTCGGAAGGCTGACGCGGGCAGATCGCTTGAGCCCAGGAGTTTGAGACCAGCCTGGGTAACATGGTGACACCCTGTCTCTACAAAAAATACAAAACTTAGCTAGCTAAGTGTGGTGGCACATGCCTGTAGTCCCAGCTACTAGGGACACTGAACAGGGAGGATCACTTGAGCCTGGGAGGCAGAGGTTGAAGATTGTGCCACTGCACTCCAGCCTGGGTGACAGAGACCCTGTCTCAAATGGAAAAAAAACAGGTGGGGGGAGGGGGAAGAAAGAAACTGAAGCTAGGATCTACCACTTACTAGGGGTGCAACCTTTTTTTTTTTTTTGAGACGGAGTCTTGCACTGTCGCCCGGGCTGGAGTGCAGTGGTCGGATCTCAGCTCACTGCAAGCTCTGCCTCCCGGGTTTGCGCCATTCTCCTGCCTCAGCCTCCCGAGTAGCTGGGACTACAGGCGCCCGCCACCTCGCCCGGCTAGTTTTTTGTATTTTTTAGTAGAGACGGGGTTTCACTGTGTTAGCCAGGATGGTCTTGATCTCCTGACCTCATGAACCGCCCGTCTCGGCCTCCCAAAGTGCTGGGATTACAGGCTTGAGCCACCGCGCCCGGCCGGTGCAACCTTTTTTTAAGATGGAGTCTTGCTCTGTGTCCCAAGCTGGAATGCAGTGGTGCAATCTTGGTTCACTGCAACCTCCGTCCCCGGGGTTCAAGTGGTTCTCCTGCCTCAGCCTCCTGAGTAGTCGGGATTATAGGCACGCGCCACCACATTCAGCTATTTTGTATTTTTGGAAGAGACAGGGTTGGCCAGGCTGGTCTCAAACTCTTGACTTCAGGTGATCCGTCTGTCTCGGACTCCCAAAGTGCTGGGATTACAGGCATGAGCCACCATGCCCGGTCCTAGGGGTGCAACCTTAAGCAAGACAGAGGATACTTTCCTATATTGATGAGTCAAGTGGGATGAATCATGTGAAAATGCTTAGCAGAGGACCCAGTTTAGGTCAGGTGCTCAACATATGTTAGTTGAATTTGGCAAATTATTCATCTAGACTAGTGGTTCTCAATCAGCAATGGAATCACCTGGAGGGCCTTAAACCATAGCTTGCTGGGCCCCACCTCCAGAATTTCTGGCTCTTATCTATGCAAAGTGGGTCTGAAATTTGCATTTCAAGCAAGTTTCCAGGTGATACTGATACTGCTGATCCGAGGATCACACTTTGAGAATCATTGACTAAAAACTGATAGGTCAGGTGTGGTGGCTTCACACCTCTAATCTCAGCAATTTGGAAGGCTAAGGTGGGAGGAATTTGAGACCATCCTGGGCAACACAGGGAGACCTAATCTCTTTTTTTTTGAGACGGAGTCTCGCTGTGTCACCCAGGCCGGAATGCAGTGGCGCGATCTCGGCTCACTGCAAGCTCCGCCTCCCGGGTTCACGCCATTCTCCTGCCTCAGCCTCCGAGTAGCTGGGACTACAGGCACCCGCCACCACGCCCGGCTAGTTTTTTGTATTTTTAGTAGAGACGGGGTTTCACCATGTTAGCCAGGATGGTCTCGATCTCCTGACCTCGTGATCCACCCACCTCGGCCTCCCAAAGTGCTGGAATTACAGGCTTGAGCCACTGCGCCCGGCAGGGAGACCTAATCTCTACAAAAAATTAGCCAGATGTGGTGGTACATACCTGTAGCCCCAGCTACTCAACCACCCAGCTACTCCTGCTGAGGTAGGAGGACCACTTGAGCCCAGCCTGAGCAACAGAGCAAAACCGTCTCTAAAACAAACCAACAGGCCAGGCGTGGTGGCTCATGCCTGTAATCCCAGCACTTTGGGAGGCCAAGGGGGGTGGATCACTAGGTCAGGAGATCAAGACTATCCTGGCCAACATGGTGAAACCCTGTCTATACTAAAAATACAAAAATTAGCTGGGGTGGTGGTGCGTGTCTGTAATCCCAGCTACTCGGGAGGCTGAGGCATGAGAATCACTTGAACCTAGGAGGCGGAGGTTGCAGTGAGCCAAGATTGGGCCACTGCACTCACTCCAGCCTGGAGACAGAGCAAGACTCTGTCTCAAAACAACAGAGGACAGAACAATCTACCTGTTTAGTGTAGCTTAATGCCTAATATATAGTTTCTAGCACAGCCTAAAGTGCAAATTTTTCAGTGAATAAACCACTCTGTGCCTCAGAATAACTGATATTTACTGTCAATAATATGAGAACAAACACTTTTGTTCACTGCTGTATTTCCAGAACCAAGAACATGGCGTGGCACACAATGTAAGCGCTCAGTGGGTTCACCCTGCCTGCTGCCTCGACAGAGCCGATTTATCAAGACCAGGGAATTTCAGTGGACAAAGAGTAATTCACGCAGAGCCAGCTGTGTGGGAGACCAGAGTTTTATTATTACCAAATTAGTCTCCCTGGGCATTCGAGGATCAGAGTTCTTAAAGATAATTTGGTGAGTAGGAGCTTGTGAATGGGGCGTGCTGATTGGTCAGGATGAAGATGGAATCATAGGGAGTCGAAGTGAGGTTTTCTTGCTGTTTTCTGTTCCTGGGTGGGATGGCAGAACTGATTGAGCCAGGTTACCGGTCTAGGTGGTGTCAGCTGATCCAACGAGTGCAGGGTCTGCAAAATATCTCAAGCACTAATCTTAGGTTTTACAATAGTGATGTTATTCCTAAGAGCAATTTGGGGAAGTTCAGACTCTTGGAGCCAGAGGCTGCATGACCCCTAAACTGTAATTTGTAATCTTGTAGCTAATTTGTTAGTTCTGTAAAGGCAGACTGGTCCCCAGGCAAGAAGGGGGTCTTTTCGGGAAGGGGCTATTATCAATTTGTTTCAGAGTCAAACCATAAACTGAATTCCTCCCAAAGTTAGTTCCACTACACCCAGGAATGAATAAGGACAGCTTAAAGGTTAGAAGCAAGATGGAGTCGGTTAGGTCTGATTTCTTCCACTATCATAATTTCCTCAGTTGTAATTTTGCAAAGGCAGTTTCAACAGCAGTGCTTGAAAAATTACTAAATCAATAAATAGTACTGAAAAGTTCAAATGAGGTCATATATACGAAAAAGCAATCCTACCATTGTTAGCTACAATTACTTCGCCATTAAACGAGGTAATAATAATTACTGCAAGAATTGTAACTCTTCCAACAGAGAGCAGAGACCTTTTGGCTCTGATAAAGCTCTGCACCTAAACGAAGGCGCTGTATAAAAATGGTTAATAACAATTGGCCTTTACTGAGTGCTTACTATGATGCCAAGCGGCGTACGTGGCCTAATTTCATCCTCTCAAGTTCTTACACGGGCATTATTATTTCCATTTTACAAACTGTAGAGCCAGACCTCAGACCCCTACATGCACGTTGACAACAGTTGTGGCCCTTTACCACCACCACACGTTCCGCAAATCTCATGACCAGCAAAGGCCACGGGTGAGATCAACCCAGCAGACGGAAATCAACGGGGTCAGGGGTCAGCAGGAAGTGACTACAAGCTCAGAGGTCACTAATATGTCACAGGCAGAGTGATGGGGCATTATTAAAGATAGTTTGACAAATTGTTTTTAATCTCATCTCTGTTGGTGAGGCCATAAAGTGACCGGAACATCTGAAAAAAAATGTCAGGAGGGAAATACATACGACTCAGCAGAGGCGCCCAGGCGGCGGCCATGATAGGAAGATGAAAGTGGCGCATGCGCGGTTCCCGAAATGCAGACGTGGCAGAAGGAGTGGCCCGGCCCTAAAGCGTGGAGGAGGAACTTCCGGGGGTGAAGCGACGACCCCCCTCGGAACCGGAAGTGAAGCCTGGGAGCCTTGACGTTAGGAACGAAGTCTAACCTGGATCTGGAGCCGGGTGAGGAGTGGCATCGGGAGGTTGGTGGGTAGGAAAGCGAAGGAGAGGTCAGGGTATTACTGGCCAGATTGGGGTCCGGTTTCAGAAAGAAGGGAGGAGCCTGGGGGCGGGGCCTGGGAAGAGACCCTCACCTCACGCATCCACTATCCAGGAGCAGGTCCTAGACCCTCCCTTCGTCTCTCGGCCCAGATTCCGGCTCCTGCTTCCTGCCCCGAGCCTGTTAAAAGGTGCAAGACGCTTGGACTCTGTGCTCAATAGAGCAGCCGCCTCTCTTATCGTGGCCTTAGAAGCTGACTTGGCTTCTCGGTCTTGATCCCCGGCTCTCCGAGGCTCCATAGCTTGACTACATTCAGAGTTCTAGGAAGCTTGCCCCGCCCCTTTGGGTTGTCACCCTCGACTATCCACCAGAATGGAGTCGAGACTTCAGTCTGACTCCAAGATCTTGAATGTGTTTGAGGGAATTATTTTCTGGAGAAGAAGCTCCTTTCTTTACCCCTCCCCCCGACTTTGGAAAGATATAGGGAGGGGACATATTTTAAACTTAGTGTTAGTGATCTGTGTAAGGTTTAGGATTTGGACGAACAGCTACTGAGATAACTTTGAGTTTAAAGAGTTTTGGACGAGGATCAGCTCATTTTCTATAGTCAAGGTGGCCCTTCTAGCAAAGGGGGAGAGGCCCATTGTTCCCTCTGCAGCAACTCTGAGTGCTTCTGCTTCCTGGGCCTCTTCTGTCTATAGGATAATTGGAATGATACAGCTGTTGAAAGTAGATGTGATGAGATAGTTTTCTTGGAAAGACCTTATTTAGAAAAGGCCCTCTAATTCATCCCTGTGTTGGTGAGCAAGATTGTAATAATTTTGATGGTGGCCGAGATTCGTAACAATCGTAAGGGGAGCAGAAACAGGAGAGTTGGAGAAGTGCATTGAAATTTAGAATATTTATAGTCTTCTGCTTGAGGGATGAGATGAATGATTTTTTCCATGAAATCTAACTTTGCCCCTGATTCTTGAACTGTTTCCTCAGATTATGTGAAGAAGGTGCCTGTTCTGCACTCGGTTTTAATCTGTTACCTTGCTAGAGTTTTCAGGTGTCCTTTACATTTATTTATTATTATTCTTTTTTTTGAAAGGGAGTCTTGCTGTGTTGTTCAGGCTGGAGTGCAGTGGCACGATCTCAGCTCACTGCAACCTCTGCCTCCCGGGTTCAAGCGATTCTCCTGCCTCAGCCTCCCAAGTAGCTCGGATTACAGGCGCGTGCCATCGTGCCCGGCTAGTTTTTGTATTTTTAGTAGAGACTGGGTTTCTCCATGTTGGCCAGGCTGGTCATGAACTCCTGACCTCAAGTGATCTGCCTGCCTTGGCCTCACAAAGTGCTGGGATTATAGGTGTGAGCCACTGCGCCCGGCCAACATTTATTGATTTTAATGCTTCGGTTTTGGCCGGGTGTGGTGGCTCACGCCTATAATCCCAGCACTTTGGGAGGCCAAGGTGGGCAGATCACGAGGTCAGGAGATCGAGACCAGCTTGGCTAACAGGGTGAAACGCAGTCTCTACTAAAAATACAAAAACTAGCCAGGCATGATGGCATGTGCCTGTAATCCCAGCTACTCGGGAGGCTGAGGCAGGAGAATCGCTTGAACCCGGGAGGCGGAGATTGCAGTGAGCTGAGATGGCGCCACCACTACACACTCCAGCCTGGCAACAAAGCAAGACTCTGTTTCAAAAACAAAACAAAACAAAAAAACCCTTCAGTTTTAAGGTCCATACACTCTTTTGGTGGAAAGACTGGGGTCGGAGTATCATTTGTATTATGGCAGTTTAGCTAAAGAATGTCATTTCTGTAAATCAGTCTAAATTTTGTCATTGAGGGGGAAGGATTTTAGCGGATCTGTTTTAGACTTTTAGCCTGATTGATTTTAAATCAATTGTTTGGCACACTAGAGGGTACTCGATGTTTGTTGAATGAATGGATGCTAGAGTGAATGAATGGAAAGTGGGAACATTGTTTCTTTTACCTGTAACATCAAGGTAGTTCATCAGCCACAAGACTCTGTGTGACTAGACACCAGAAATCATACCACTGGGGAATGGAGGCTGCTGCTCCATTTCAGTGGGTCTGTCTGAAGTTGAAATTTATATTCTTTAGACAGTGACAAGGGGGGGGGGTGGTCAGAGTAACAAAATCCTTGCTTTTAAGAAGGTAATCTGAATACTGACTGGGGCAGAAAATTACTAACATCCTGTGGATGTGTGAGGATTATTAAACTCATCACTGTCTGATAAGATCAATTTCTTTTTATCTCTACTTCCTGCCCTGAATAGTTGCTCTCTTTAGAAAGTTCATTTTAACTAATTTCTTTTCTGTCTCTCTAATAGGTGAGACCAAACCGGGAATGCTTTCATAATGAACGTCAATCAGTCAGTTCCACCTGTGCCATCATTTGGGCAGCCCCAGCCCGTCTACCCAGGGTATCATCAGTCCAGCTACGGTGGGCAGTCAGGGTCCACAGCCCCCACCATTCCCTATGGAGCCTACAATGGCCCAGTACCAGGCTATCAGCAAACACCCCCCCAAGGTATGTTTCTGTTTCTTTTGAGCTAGGGAGGGAAATCAGCAGAGTCTTCAGGTTGGGTTGTATTGCTCTAGCTAAGCTACCTGAGGAGTTTGGGTGACTGGGATTGAGGAACATAAATCTGGCCCTGTGTAGCTGAGAGCCCTGTGGGCGCCCTTCCCTTTTATTATTATTATTATTATTTTTTTTTTTTTTTTTTTTTTTTTTTTTTTTTTTGAGACGGAGTCTCGCTCTGTCGCCCAGGCTGGAGTGCAGTGGCCGGATCTCAGCTCACTGCAAGCTCCGCCTCCCGGGTTCATGCCATTCTCCGGCCTCAGCCTCCCGAGTAGCTGGGACTACAGGCGCCCGCCACCTCGCCTGGCTAGTTTTTTGTATTTCTTAATAGAGACGGGGTTTCACCGTGTTAGCCAGGATGGTTTCGATCTCCTGACCTCGTGATCCGCCCGTCTCGGCCTCCCAAAGTGCTGGGATTACAGGCTTGAGCCACCGCGCCCGGCCTATTATTTTTTTTTTTGAGACAGAGTCTTGCTGTCACCCAGGCTGGAGTGTAGTGGCACGATCTCAACTCACTGCAAGCTCTGCCCCCGGGCTTAAGCAATTCTCCTGCTTCAGCCTCCCCAGTAGCTGGGATTACAGGCATGTGCCACCACGCCCAGCTAATTTTTGTATTTTATTTATGTATTTATTTTGAGATGGAGTCTCACTCTGTCGCCCAGTCTGGAGTGCAGTGGCACCATCTTGGCTCACTGCAACCTCTGCCTCCCAGGTTCAAGCAGTTCTCTGCCTCCGCCTCCTGAGTAGCTAGGATTACAGGCGTCCGCCACCACGCCAGCTAATTGTTTTGTATTTTTAGTAGAGATGGGGTTTCACCATCTTGGCCAGGCTAGTCTTGGACTCCTGACTTTGTGATCTGCCCGCCTCAGCCTCCCAAAGTGATGGGATTACAGGCTTGAGCTACCGTGCCTGGCCTGTTTTTTTTTTTTTTTTTTTTTTTTTTGAGACGGAGCTTCACTCTTGTTGCCCAGTCTGGAGTGCAGTGGCACGATATGGCTCACTGCAACCTCCGCCTCCTGGGTTCAAGTGATTCTCCTGCCTCAGCCTCCCGAGTAGCTGGGATTACAGGCATGCGCCACCACGCCCAGCTAATTTTGTATCTTTAGTAGAGATGGGGTTTCTCCATGTTGTTCAGGCTGGTCTTGAACTCCCAACCTCAAGTGGAATTACAGGCATGTGCCACCACGCCCGGCTAATTGTTTGTATTTTTAGTAGAGATGGGATTTTGCCATGTTGGCCAGGCTGGTCTTGAACTCCTGACCTCAGGTGATCCACCTGCCTTGGCCTCCCAAAGTGCTAGGATTACAAACGTAAGCCACTGCGCCCAGCTGTCTTCCGTGTTTTTAGGTAAGGTACTGTGTTTTTGCCTTAAGCCATCTAGTGGGAACACATCTCCCAGGTTCACTGACAGCTCATTTACTGTGGGTATCACCTGGTCACATTGTTCAGAGCTAAATGGAAGGGTTGTGGTCCATGCCCCTCTAGATCCTGTGACCAGGACCGAATATTTCCTGTTGACTTGTAGTCTCCTTGAAATCATTTATTCCTCATATATGTTGAATGCCTTTTGTTGGACTGATGATTCTTATATATAAATTAGCCTGGGACAGTGTAGTTTATGGGGATGAAAAGTGTGATATTTGTGTGCCTGACTTTTGGTGCCTCTCATATCTTTCTTCTGATATCAGTCCTTTTCCTTTGCTTGAGTTTCCTTTGCTTCTTAGATGCTCTGTAATATCATGGTAATAAGAGAATACTAATCCGATGCTGCTTTAGGTTGAGTGTTTGGTTTTTACCTTACTTTTTCTTTCTTTCTTTTTTTTTTTCTTTTTTGAGACAGTCTTACTTTGTCGCCCAGGCTGGAGTGCAGTGGCATGATCTTGGCTCAGTGCAACCTCCGCCTCCTGGGTTCAAGCAGTTCTCCTGCCTCAGCCTCCCGAGTAGCCAGGATTACAGGCACATGCCACCAAGCCTGGCTAATTTTTGTATTTTTAGTAGAGACAGGGTTTCACCATGTTGGCCAGGCTGGTCTTGAACTCCTGACCTCGTGATCCACCCGGCTTGGCCTCCCTAAGTGCCGGGATTACAGGCATGAGCCACCACGTCCGGCCTTACCTTACTTTTTCAAGAAGAGCAGCTAGTACTCTACAGATTCTCCACAGGGGCTTTTTGGAAGTAGTTAACAGTAAATCTTTGCTTAGGCTAGCTGATGATTTAGGGTATGCCAAATTCTTTATGCTTTTATAAAGGGATATGGAAAAAAGAAGGCATCAAAGAGATACGAGTAAGATTTGGGAAATAATGAAGTATGACGATTTTAATTATAACTGTGGGGAAAAAAAAAACTGTGATGAGATTAGGCCTCAGATCTTTGGAAGAACCTTAATTCTAAGCTGAGACTTTGGCTGAACAGAGTCCACCTCCGCTTTGTCAAGTCCTGGAGTTTGGCATTCTCTCATGAGAAAGCTTTGTTAGAGGAAAACATATCTGATTCTGTCATGGTTGGTGAGCAAGTTTAGGTTAATCATGTTCCTGTAGGCAGGTTCTATAATGTCTAGTCTCTACTGAGGGCAGAGCAAAAGAAAAACAATTCTTTGAACAGAGGTCATCCACATTTCAAAAGTGATGTGCCAAGTAACTAATTGCTTTCTCCCTGAACTTCATGTGTGAAGAATGGCTAAGAGTAGTGAAAGTAGCTT